TTTTTTCCGGCTTGGAGCTTTGCCGGAAAAAAGCGCCAGTCTAGACGGGGATCTTTCAGAAAATAAAGCCTTTTCCAAAAGATCCCTTATTCCTCTTAATAGCCTAAGAGGAGTTTATCCTGCCTATTGTTGAAGACATCCAGGGATGGGGAATCCACAGCCTCTGCTGGAAGCCTATTCCAGTGCTTAATTATCTTTACAATTAGGAAGATTTTGTCTAACATAAATTTCTCTTGCTGCAAATTAAACCCAGTAAGTTCCATGTAATGAAGAAAGTACTGTTCAAAACTTTAATTACAGCATCATTTTATTAAGGTAGGTAAATTGAATGGACCTTCTGTCTGTCTAGCATCTTGCATTTAGGAGCAACTTTTTTCCCCTCTAGAGGGAAAAAATATAATACAACATCTAAGATCAGAAAAAAAAGCACTAACAACAATTTTTAGCAAAGATTTGACATCATAGAACTAAATGTAACGACTCTAGGTAGTATGTCTACTTACCTGAAGAATTGAAGCAGTAACCATTATTCTTGTTGCTGAGATTGACTTTCCAATCTACCACTCCAGTTTTGTTCTTACCACATTTTGGATTTGGGTTTACACGAGGAATGACAAACCACTTATCAGCCACCCATCCAAAGCTAGAATAAAAAGTATCAATCTTTTAATGTTGGGTATGTTCACATGTATATCGTTGTATGTAAGGAAACAGCTGCTAAAAGCTGCCAGTTACTTACAGATTTCACATACCTGCATGTTTCAAAGCCATTGGTCCAGGCCTTCTCAACCTGGGATTTGCTTGCCAGCTGTAACCCCAGCTGTCTACATGCACTTTCTGCTTCTGAGAAATTCAGTTTTTTTGGATGAGATATTAGGGTTATGCCTGCAAATCTGCATTCCTGAATGGTCAGGTCTGTAAATTAAAAAGCAATAATCACAGTTATTACTTTAGAATAATTAAGTGCCTGTGTGGCTCACGATGCATATTATTATATATTTTTTAAGTTTTATGTGGTTAGGGCATTAGAAAAGTTGCACTGGTAGAGTTAATTTGCCTTTTGTAGCAATATAATCTATTTGCTCAACCCAATAGTCCAATAGTTCAGAGGATAAGAGGGGCTCCTCACCATGACTAGACTATAAAATATATTTGTTAACAGTGGAATTATGAATGGAAACTTTGAGACTGTGTATGAGAGGAACCATCTTGCTAACAAGAATGCCATTTGTGATACATGTGCCTGAGATGCTCATGGATGGGCTGGAGACCAGTTTTCCCACCTGATTAATACTGTCTTAAAATAATACAACCAGTGCTTATGATAAAACTCTCATGCCTTCAGCATAGTGAACCCTGGTTTACACTAGGACTTTATTCCAAAATAACCCCTCAAGTTCAAATTTATAAGTGGTGTGTTCACACTACCAAGCCTGTTATTTCAAAATAATGAGCTGTGGAATTTGAACTCTGTACTCCCTGCTTTTCACAAGGAGTACCGGTCATCTGAAGAAGTGGGCTGTGCCCACGGGAGCTCATGATCCCATCTACATGTTTTGTTAGTCTATAAAGTGCTATCAGACTATTTGTTGTTTTTTTAGTTTATTCTGTACAGACAAACTCAGCTACCCCCAGAAATTCCAAAATAGTTATTTCAAAATAACATTAGTGTGGATCGTCCAGTGCCGCTAATTCAAACTGATAGGCCTCCAGGAGGCCTCCTGCATCTCCACAGAGTGCTTCCTGGGGCCCTAAGTCCGAGGTGGCTTGCCCGCATTAATGGAGCCTGCGTCAGGCTCATTACCAGGCGTCCCTGTCATGAGGGCACACTAGTTTGAATTTGTTAAATCGAATTTAGTAATTTTGAAATAGTTTCCTACTGTAGACATGGCCTGACAGAAGTGGGTTACAGAGCCTGCTGTGGATGTCAAGCATGGATGTCAGACATGAGTTTACCTGTCAAAGGGATTTTGTCATTATTAATTATGTCACTTCCACTGTGCTGAGCTGTCACTTTTTAGATCATTACACAGATACCTCTGATATAATTTTTAAAAAATGAAACAAGGTTCAAGCATGGGCTAAATTCAGTTAGTTACTTCAATCAGTTATCTTTTAGACACCTGGGGCTAGCACCGCAGCTGTGCAGAGGCAATGCTTGGTTCAACGGAGGGGGATGGGCAACACTGCTAGCTGCTTTAAATTGCATCATGTGGACAGCCCCCGGTGGGCAGCCAACAGTTGCTGGAGCACAGTGACATTTTGGCCACACCCACTACTTCAAGAGATGGAAAGGGGGGCTTATATGAGCTCTTCACTACATGCTGATTCTCATGTGCTGGCTCCACTCCTTTCCTCCTTTCCTACCATTTACCTGTGATCCTTTCCCACCCTTCCTATGGGCTGACACAGCCTCTCCTTTTTTTCCCTAGGCTAGTCAATGGATTTGCTTGGCAGCTGTTAAAGTTTGGCTGAAGGGACCCTTTTTAAGTGTAATAGTGATGATGAAAGCTTCTTAATGACCAGTCATATTAATGACCAGCCTTAATTTTCCAATCCTCAAAAAGACATTGAGCAATACAATGCAGCATAATATACTCAACAAAAGAAATATTTTCATAAGAGAACAGCAGTCAACTAGATATTCACCCAGTGAATTGGAAGAAGGAAGATTCGGTATAAGAAAAGTGATAGAAATGTAGCTGTGTTAGTCTGGTGTAGCTGAAGCAAAATACAGGACTATTTTGCTTCGGTATAAGAAAGTGAGGGCTCAGTTGGTAGAAAGGAAAAGAAAATAGAGTAAACTGTATCTAGAGAGCAATTTTGTTACCTGAAAAACAAAACAAGAGAAAATGCAATGTGTACCTGAAATTAGAAGTAAAAAGCAAGTTCTTGGGCTATTATCAATTTTATTGTAGACTACAACTAGTTTTACAACATAAGAAAAAGAATAGAATCTCCTAATCATCCTACCCTTTTCATGACTTTCTAAATCATTTCTCTGAATCCTGTGATGAAGCAAACTGAATTTGTGCAGGAGGCAGAATATTCCTTTAGAAACATGTTATCCTTTGGCTACACAAAATGCTTCTAGCTAGTCTGAGCTCTTCCATACTTGGTTGATCTAAAAGGAAAGTATATCTTCATCTCATACCGTATGCTGAACATTTGCATGAGAAACCTACTTCATCAGAAGAACAGTGGAAGTGATTGATTAGGAGAAAATATCTATGAATAAGACTAAGTTGGTGGATGCAGAATAGGATAAAGAGATTTTAACTATTATAAAGTGGGGGAGACAAATGTGCTTTAAAATTATTAATTCTTTGCTTAATCAAGAAACTGCTGCTTCCCCTCCGTGTTTTCCCCCAGCTCCTCAGTTCATATGACAGTGCTCTATACATGAGTTGCTGGGTGGGCTCGTATGGCTCAAATCTAATTTTCTCTGTATGGTACATTCACTAGTGGTTTCTCCTACCTTTCCTAGCCCTTACTTATGGGTTAAGAATTTTGTTGATCAAAAAGACTTTGGTGCTTTGTGAAAAATGCAGCCTGAGGGTATGTCTACACTAGCTCGTTAATTTGAGCTAGGTAGGCAAATGAGGTGACAGGAGTTGTAAATGATATTTAAATCCCGGGCTTTATTTGCTTTATTTGCATGTTCCCATCCAGTCGCCATTTTGAAATTTCACTAGCCCGAACTCATTGCCGTGCGGAGTAACAGTTAATTCAAACTAAGGACTTAGTTTGAATTAACGTTTTGTGGGAGAAAAAAGTCAAATAACTCCAATTGTGTCTAAGGGGGGACTGTGCAGGAAATCAAAACTCTCTAAAAGAAAACTGCTGTAAGGGTTAAAAGTTTTCCAGACCTCTCTCCCTGTATCAGAGTGAAATCAAATTAACTCTAATCAAGACCCTTACAATGCCTATCTCAAGTTCATGGATACTCCTAGTCTGTCACAAATTGTCATGTAAACTCTTATCTTTGTCACAGTTTGTCTTGTAAGACTACTCACGCCACATTCTCATGTGCCTTTGTTCTGTAAAACTTACTTCTAGCACTCCTGGTGTGAACAGAAACGTCTCAGAGTACTTCTGCTGAGACTTTGATATGTTAAAGAAAACAAACAACAACTAAACTGTCTGAACATACTGTATAAAGAATCCCTGAAACTGTCTCTCAAGGCTGCTGCTGCTCACTCTGGTAGCTGTCAGCCTGCATGCATGCATAATAAAGTTTTCCTTCTAGGTTTCTCTCCTGCCTCACTGCTTTGACCTCCAGCCTCGGACACTTCTGGGGGCTCTGTACCCCAGGGGAGCGAGATTTCCTCGACAGTTTCACTGCAGCGTGTAGCCACGTGGCAGTGAGTTCGGGCTAGTGAAATTTCAAAATGGCGACCAGATGGGAACATGCAAATAAAGCCCGGGATATTTAAATCCCAGGCTTCATTTGCAACTCTGGTCACCTCATTTGCCTACCTAGCTCGAATTAACGAGCTAGTGTAGACATACCCTAAGTGACTTAGAAACCTGAACCCAGTTTTCAAACCTGACACAGGCACTTAGTATATTTCATTGACAATCAAGTTTGAAAATGGAACATAGACACTTTTGAAAATTGTATCCTTTACTTTCTCCTTCCTTCTCAAGGAGTATGTCTACACTGCATTCCTTTTTCAAGAAAGGAATGCAAATGCAGCTGAGCGAAATTGCAAATTAAGCACAGATTTGAATTTCCTGCACTTCATTTGAATAATCGCGTCCAGGAACTATTTTGAAATACCCTATTTCGAAAAAAGAAATGCTGTCTAGATGCGGTTATTTCGAAAGAAAACCCATCTTTCAAAATTACCCTTACTCCTTATAAAATGAGGTTTAATGGTAATTTCGAATGAAGGGTTTTCTTTCAAAATAACTGCGTCTAGACAGCATTTCTTTTTCAAAACAGGGTATTTCGAAATGGCGCCTGGATGCAATTATGCAAATGAAGTGCAGGAAATTCAAATCTGCGCTTCATTTGTGATTTTGCTCAGTTGCATTTTCATTCCTCTCTCGAAAGAGGACTTCAGTGTAGACATACCCAAAGATATAGCTCATTTCTAACTGATTCTGCTCCTCTCCAATTTATGGATTGCACAGAGAAATAGTCTTGCACTCTTTCTTGGAATTAACAAGTTTACATGTAAACACAACAAGGAGTACAGTAACACTTCAAAGACTAACAAATTTGTCAGGGTATTTGGTGCTTCTCTTTTATTTGATACTGCAATGTTTCATAGCTTCCTCATAGTTTCTGTGTTGTCCTCAGGAGCTTTTATCCTCCACAGCGCTCTTTCTGACAGTTGCCATGTGAGTTGACTCTTATTCCACAAATTTTCTAGGTGCATCTAGGTGTGCCAGAGCCAAACAGGAAGTGAAAATATTGAACAGTAGTGTTCTGAACCAGCAATTCTGTTTTTCTCTGGTGGAAATCTGGGCTTCTTCCTCTTATTTACAGACTGAAAAAAGCCTGTAATTGATTTCTCATGACATCTGTACTGTGACTTTCAGCAGTAAGTGTAGAGATAGCAGTAATTCAAAAATTTCTCCCCCAATCTCTGTCTAAATATAAGAGAGTTGAGTGTTGAGAATATGTATAGTCATTTGTCTGTACGCAATATTTCTATAATAGAATCATAGACTACTAGAACCAGAATGGACTTTGCGAGGCCATCAGGTCCAGTCCTCTGCCCTACATGTCTTTGTCGCCAGAGGTATGTAAATTAGACTACCCGACATAGTCAATGAAGCCGGGATTTAAATCCTTGCAGGAGGAATAACGGTAGTTTGAATTAGGAGCTTTAATTCGAACTACCTAGAACATGCTGTGTGTAGCCGCGGGCAGGTAGTTCGAACTATGGGCATTTAAAAATGGCACCCGCCCGGGAACATGCAAATGAAGCCCAGGATATTTAAATCCCGGGCTTCATTTGCAAGTTCAAATGCCTACATTAGCCACCCTAGTTCGAACTAGGGTGGCTAATGTAGGCATTTGAACTTGCAAATGAAGCCCGGGATTTAAATATCCTGGGCTTCATTTGCATGTTCCCGGGCGGGTGCCATTTTTAAATGCCCATAGTTCGAACTACCTGCCCGCGGCTACACACAGCATGTTCTAGGTAGTTCGAATTAAAGCTCCTAATTCAAACTACCGTTATTCCTCCTGCAAGGATTTAAATCCCGGCTTCATTGACTATGTCGGGTAGTCTAATTTACATACCTCTGGCGACAAAGACATGTAGTCTAGACCCTGAGGGTACATCTACACTGCATGCTTGTTTCAAAATAAGCTATTCTGGAAGAAATACTCTGAAATAGCTTATTTCAAAATAGGGCATGGAAGCCTCAAAATTAGTCCAAGGCAGCCTTCCCTAATGTGAACACCCTCGATTTAGAGCCCCAGGAAGCACTGGGGAGTAGTTACTTTGAATGGCCCTGGGGAAGAGCTACTTCAAAGTAGCAGCAGTGGAACATCCACACTACAGCTATTCCAAAACAGCTGTTTCAGAATAGGTGTTATTCCTCATGGAATGAGGTTTACAGAAGTCCGAAAAAGCTGTCCGTTATTTTGAATTTATTTTGAAATAACAGAATTGCTGTGTAGATGCTTGCATTCTTATTTCAGAATAACGGCAGTTATTCCAAAATAACGCTGCTGTATAGATGTGCCCTGAGAGGTTATTCGCTTGCTCCTTGGATTGACTGAACTGCGTTCTCACCTCTAATGGCAATCCCTGCCAGGGCAGGGCAGGTCATATTGGTGGAGCGGATATGCCTTTCTATTCATTGTGTTTACTTGTTTGATAGCTAAAGCTCAGCCTCCAACCTTCCTGGGTTGCAAACCATATCCCCAAGCATTTTTAGAAGAAGCATTAACAAAATATTTAATAAAATAAACAAAAATACTTAATAAAAATGATATGACAATTTGTAAATGAAGTTGTGATGCAACCATTGCATTTGAGAGCTATTTAAGATGAATGCTTCATTACTAATTTATTTGAACTACACTGTATTCCAAAAGTGGGAACTTTCTGGTGTTTGGGTAATTTTTTTTCTTCCAATAGTAACCAGAGGCAAACTTAATTACCTGTAAATTGCACTTCAAGAATCATTCCTGTGTCCCTGAGAACTTTGAGAGAGACTCAGATCCATAGTAACTATAGCTCAAAATCAAACCAAACAATTCACATTTAAAATAACATTCTTCTAAGGCCCTCAATGACAAATTTCATGCATATTCTGCTAATAGAAAACTTGCTCAAAAGCTTTTGTTGTGGCATTTTCCAAACATTTGATGTCTAGAAAAATTTTCACTAACTTACTAAAATATGTCAAAGTCTTGGGACATATTTGGACATTATTAAAAATTAATAAAATAATTAAATTGGCCGTAAATATTCAGTGAAAGATATTCAAAGCCAGTATTGTCACCAAAAATTATCTTTTGCATGTTTTTAAATACCTATAAATTATACATTTAAAATATACACGCATACAGAATTATATATAGTCACAGATATAATTATACACCTGCATATTTTATTTGCAAATGTACTGATTTAGCAGATATCTTTTCTGGCAAAAAAGGAGAGACAAATCAAATTACAACTATTTTTGGACATTGGGAAAAAGGTGCACATACTCAAATATTGTAAGAAAACATACCTTTCACATCGAAAGAGCCTTGCACTATGAATTTCATTATCCAGATTGACAACAAAACCAGGGTAAAACCAGAATAAGTTCCCATTATCAATAACACAAATAACAAATGAAAAAACCGAGGCTGGGTTGTTTCCTAGATTAAAGATAGTTGTGTATTGACAGTCCCTGTTGTGGGCTTTGTGATGACTTTCTTGACAGCTACTTAGATGCCACTGTACTGATTCACTGAAAGAATGTCAGCAAATATTTGTTGCTCAACTAAAAAGAAATCTACTCATCAAGGGCACAAACTGGAAATACATGACGTCCTCAGGACATTTCACGGATGGCTGTTTGGAAAATTCAGCTAATGCTGACTCAGAAAACATACAGCTGAGGAAGGGAGATAATGCTGTATTAGTCTCTCAGTCTTATAAACAGTTTGCAAAATGTTTTTCTCTTGCTGCTCCTTTTGTAACGCTTCCTGTTTAATTGCATATCAGTTCATCACTCATGTAGTATAGTCATTAGTTCATTAGTATATCTAATCATTAGTACAGAACATTGGCAATCTGCGTTCTTGGGTGTCGAGTAGTTCAACTTACTTTAGATCCAAGGGAAACCAGTATACTTCAGGGCTACTTAACGACTTTCTTATTTATTGCAAGCTTTAAGCAGTTAATACAGTTACAAGCCTTAAGAACAATTACTATATATTTTAAACCTTAAATACTATAAATTCTAAAGCAATTAATACAGTGCAAAGCAATGCAAAAGCAGTTACTAAAAAATCTACTATATACAATAATAAACCCTAATTCACTTACAGTTCACCCTTATGCTACCTACAGTGCCAGGCAGGAGGTTGTGGCTCTGTCTTTTCCCACCCATAGGAACGCCACTACTGATGTAGCCGGTGTGAAGGGCCTAATCACTTCTAGTTACCTGGAGCAGGATGTGTGGGTCAATCCTGCCCATGCCTCCACTAATTGTTCTTACTAAACCCAATTCATAGCAAAGAGACACTTGGTCATTCTAATATTTACCAGTTGATTATGAATTGTGTAGGATACATAAAATGCCCAATGCCCCTATTTGGGATACATCCTGCTACTCAGGATGTTGCTGCTATGTACGCAGTTAACAGTTTTATGGCTACATCTGTATTTTTTGCTCATCAGAAAAAGAAGTATCAGTACAAGGCTGCTTGTCCTGTGTTCTTGACATGGTCTCACGTACCAGGCTTAATCTGCATTGTTATGCAAAACAATTCCTGACTCTTGGGCCTTGCCTGCATATTTTGTTACACCAGACTTGAGCAGGCCAGAAATCCACACTTTGGACAAGGCAGACATCACCAGGTATTGCCAAGGCAGAGTAATGCAGGCTTCTGCACATTGGGTTATAGTCCCAGCGGTGCTACTGACCTGATATACTGACCTGGTGTACAATACTGCAGAAGTTGATTGAGACTTAGTGAAGTAAAGGACAGAGCTTGAGATGACCAACTTTGGGAGGGGAATAAGAGTGCTATGAGCATTTCTCTTGGACTGTTCCATCAAAGATGGAGGGGAATATTGAATGAGAAGTTTGGCTTCCATATAAAATCCCTCAAATGGGTTATGGAATGAAGAGGTCCTGCTGCCAAACTGCGGCAATCTTGACAAAGTCACAGCAGACAAAGGCTTTCTTGCAGGGCCTTCCTGTGTTGAATCTATATCTCTGGCAGGACCGTGACATTCCTACACTGTTTTGTGCTTCGGCCACTACTCCAGAGCACAGGCTTCCATGCTGATAACACTTCTTAACAAAATGCATTAATTAAATTTGTGATCAAACTGTTTGGGGAGGAGGGAATTGTGCATCTCCTGCTCTGAGGTTTGCTGCCATTTATTTCATGTTACGGGAGTCTGGCTGATGACTCAGCACATTATTTGTTTTAAGAACACTTTCACTGCAGATTTGACAAAACCCAAAGGCAGCAGCAATGTGAAATTGTGATAGATAGCTACAACTCTCGAGCCAAGGTTTAAATGATGAATCTTCCAAAATCTGAGCAGGCCATGGTTTGGAATGTGCTGGCAGAAATCTTAGAAGAGCAACACTCTGATGCAGAAACTACATGGGCAGTTGGTGAGGCTTCCACTTGGGGAGGCAGTAACTTCCCATCCCCAGGCCCTACCCTCTTCCCACCCCCTTTCCACTGTCTCCCTTCTCTCTCCCCTGTGCATTCTGTGTGCCGACTCTCGTGTGCTTGTCCTCTTCCAGTCAAATCCCTGACGCCAAGCAAATTATTTTTTCAAAAAACCCGTCACTTAGAATCATAGAGCTAGAAGAGACCTCAGAAGATCATCGAGTTCAGCCCCCTGCCCAAAGCAGGACCAATCCCAACTAAATCATCCCAGCCAGGGCTTTGTCAAGTGGAGACTTAAAAACCTCTAGGGATGGAGATTTCACCATCTCCCTAGGTAACCCATTCCAGTGCTTTACCACCCTCCTAGGGAAATAGACCTAGACCTCCCCCACTGTAACTTGAGACCATTGCTCCTTGTTCTGCCATCTGTCACTACTGAGAACAACCTGGCTCCATCCCCTTTGGAGCCTCCCTTCAGGAAGTTGAAGGCTGCTATCAAATCCCCCCTCACTCTTCTCTTCTGCAGACTAAATGAGCCCAAATCCCTCAGTGTCTCCTCAAAGGTCATGTGCTCCAACCCCCTAATCATTTTAGTTTGCCCTCTGCTCACAGCCTGGGGAAGGCCCCACACATGTCTGATCCCAGAGAGGGCCATTCTCCCTTTGCCAGGCACTACCCAAAGCAGGCTGGGCACAAGGGCGCATGCACAACCCCACACAGACTATGAGTGTTGCACATAGCACGTGAGAGGCACCACCTGCTGCTGCAGACAGTGCTGCCATGTGCAGGCACATGGGTGGAGGGGAAGGGGAGCAGGGAGAGCCAGGCCACTTCAGGCCCCTCTCCCACACTTGGGAACCCACTGTGGCCGGACACATCCCTGGGCTGCTTGGCCATGAGGTGGGCGTGGTCAGGATGGTCCTCTCGGCCCCTGTGAGGCCGGGGCTGCTGGCCAAGCCACACGTGGGCTTGCTGTTGGAACATCAGTGTTCCCTGTTCCAAGGACAGTTACTCGCTGCTCACAGAGGAGGGCACGCCCTCAGGGACAGTGTGCACACACGATTGGCCACCTGTCCTCCACAGCAGCACCATCCATCCCTGAGGGGTGAGCCACACCAGCCCAGCCGCCCACCCAGGTCCATGGAAGCCGCAGGTACTGGCACGTGTACCAGGACCTCATGCGCCAGCACATTGGGGTGTTACAAGAAGTGAAGGACACCATCGCTGAGAGGCCATGCGTGGAGGCCATGTGGCACAAGTGTCTGTTGGGTGAGCTAGTCCAGCAGCACACAGCATTGTGTGCCACAGTCTGGGAAGTCCCAGGTTCAGTCCCCATTGCCGTTCCTTCTGCTCACCCTGCTCCTGCCCGCACTGCCCTCCCTTATCCCCTTCCCCTTCTTCCTCCCTGCCATCCCAGACCCAGTTGAAGCTCCCCCTTCCTGCCCAGCCCTCTACTGTCCCAGGCTCCACCCAACCCCAAGTCTGTCAAGGTTCCTTGACCTGAGGTGGCAGGCAACACACTCAGCCCTGAATCCCCTCTCCCTCCGCCTCCCCACTCCTGGTTCTGAGCCCCCGTCCACCCCAGTTACATTTCTTGCAAGTGAATACACAGTTTATTTTTCAATCACAACCTGTTGTTTTTATTGAATGTCTGGGAAATGGGGGCAGGGATGGGTTATGGGGGGAAAATTATTTGGGGTCAAGGGCCAAGTCCTCTTTGGGGAGGCCCTGGTGAGAGTCATTGGGCTCTGTGATGGGGTGGATATACACCACACTAGAGAGAGGGGGGTGAAAGGCCTATGGGCAGAGGAAGCACCGCCCCTTTCAGCCATGTGGGAATGCTTCTGGTGTGGGGACTGTGTAAAAGTCGGGGGCCACTGCAAGCAGGGAGGGAGCTCAGGCTGGAACTCCTGAGACAGCCCGGTTGGCACAGCCGCCCTCTGAGCAGCAACCCCAGCAGCTGTCACTGCAGACTCTCCCCTGGAGCTGCAGTCCCAGCAGCAACCGCTGGGGAATTGTAGTCTGTGGGACTAGATTGCAGCACACAGGGTCTTCCCAGAAAATAAGCAGAGGCACCTTTAGTAAGGGGACTACATTATTAATGGACATTGCTACTGCAATGGTGTCAGCCGACGGTCAGGGCAGTGTGTCCGTGTGTGTTATACACCCGAGACTTCAACTGCTGAGACCAGGGTCCCTTGCAGCAGGCAACCTGGAGGAGGTTGACGGGCACCCCAATGAGTTTACAGGGAGAGCTTATAACACCTCAGATTTTAGCTGCTAGGATACAGAAATCCCTTTGCAGCGGGCAGCCTGGGGAGGCTGAGAAGTGCCCCAACGGATCTGTCCCCAGGAAGCGACACAATCCAAAACACCCAAGCTCTCCCTATATCTGTCCCTTATGACCGGCTGAAGTTCTTTTAAAATTGTGCTTGGTTCTGTTACAGCAACTGAAGGAGTCAGGTTAAAGCTTAAACAGTTACTATTTTATTGTTACAGGGTAAACTTAGTTGTTAAATGCTACTACTGTGTTACAGATAACACAGACACTACAAAGGACAGGACGGAAATTACACTAATAAGTCACTTATAGGTACCATGAAACCCTTTTGGTTCTCTGAGCTCTTATTAAATGCATGCAAAATAGACACATAGTAGGTATATATTCTCACCCCTGCGTTCCAGACTTGGCGTGGCCAGCGTCTTTCTCTCAATCCCTCGGGAAGAAGTAGGGCGAGGTTGGGCGTCCCACAGACCTCGGGAGACAATCAATACCTGCAGGTGTAGGTGTTTGGAGCTCAAAGGGGGTGGGCTACTAAACCCCTCTTTATACCCCTTGGGTCACGTAGGCTTCTTCCTGGGGAGCTCAAATGGGGTGGGCTACTATACCCCTCTTATGCCCCTTGGGTCATGTAGGCTTCTTCCTGGTCTCAAGTGGCCAATTAGGAAAAATGGCTTTGAATGCCAAGTTTCCCACGAAGGGTGCAAAGCATAATTCACACCTGGGAAAATGCAGACAATGGGCACCTCTGGTATGTGATGGGCGAAGATTCCTCTCCTGGGACAGTGCAGGCGTGTCAATTACTGGTACTAGCCATCAGGTTGGCGGGAGGCCCCGGGTCGTCAGCCAGCCCATTTACTGTCTGGTTTCTGTTTATGGTAGAGGCAGGGACAGGCAGCACCCCTGCGTTCCC